AAAGGCTATGACAAATGGCAGATCTTTTGCGCAGGTGGTGTCAGGGGAAATAGACAAAAATATACCAGTGTCTAAAGGGAGAGGGCTGAACCAGCAACCTCAGACARGGAGGGTTGCTGGTTCGACCATTAAAACAGGGGGGCGTGACTTGTTAAGTGGTCACGTGGGAGGAAAAGACTTAGAAAATGGGCCCAGTTGAGTGGATCCCTTTTCTATTGGGCCGGAGAAGGCAACTCAAGTAAAGGTTTTAAAGCTGGGTTCTTATATTACAAGTTTTGAGCCCAAGGCCCATTACAAGACAAATGGGCCAAGGGACCCTTTAAGTAAGCACGTGACTAGGAGGAGGGATGAGCTGATATACGAGATTAAGCGTCTATCTTCTTCTACCCCGAATCCCTCCTTTCAGTCGAACAGTTCAGGCGCAAAATCTCAAGACTCTCAGTCTCGAGGCTCTCTACAATGGGTCCCATCCAACCTGGCAAACCGTCTCTCACCAGATAGGCGCAACCTGAGATACTTGAAGCCTAGTGATTTGAACAGAATAGGGTTTGAAGATTGGTTGAGTGAACAAAACAGCAGTGACAATTCTGATAGAGATGAAACTATAAGTTTGGGAAGTCTGTCTCCGAAAAGCAACAATGATTTACTTGAAATAGAAAGTTTGCATACAGAGCTGTTATTTTTAGAGGAAGAGATTGAAGAGGCAGGTGGCGGGAAGACTAGAAATGGCGAAGAAAATGGTCCTAAAGCTGTGAAAACTCCTCTTCTCTTCGTCGAGGGAGCTGACCCTAAGTCTAATGAATTATAGGATGTTGGTGGAGAGGGACAAGAATCGGCCGTGAGGATGGATGTGGGTATTCCAGTGTTGGAAACACAGAGAAAGGATTTCCAAGTGGGTAGGTCGTCAGGAAGTGATTCTTTCACCATGTCTACTTCACAACTTTGTCCAAAAAGGGGAAAGGCCTTAAAACCATTTGTTGCATGTCAGCAACTAAATTCCAGTGATTCTAGTCCTACCCTCGTCCTACCAAGTATGGGTGTCAATTCTCTTATAGGTACTGACTTGTGTGCTATGCCTGTAGCAGGTATGCCAACTTCCCATCCAGGAGGTTCTGATGCAAGAGAGAGGGTGATAGTGGAAGGAGGAGAGAGGGTGATGGAAGGAAGTAGTAAAGGGGAGGCAGACAGAATTTGGGAGTTGATCTGTACAATGATAGAGGAACTAAAAAAAAAGGAAGGATTCTTAGAGAGATGTTGTAGCCAAAATAAGTGTGAGCAGGGTCAAATTCTTCCTCAGACATTGGCTGGAAAGG